TTGCCGGCGCCCAGGCGCCAGCCCAAAAGGTCTTCGACGACCGCCCTCAAGACCTCTGCGGCATCGCGGGGGCCGCCCGTGCCGGGCCCCCTGTCCGCGTCGGCCCGGAACAGATCGTCCACGAATCGGCCCGAAGCGAGCGAGAACAACTTGGCAAGGATGGCCTGCCGCGCTCGCGGGGCGCTCGCCGTGCCGCCGCGGCGCTCGCGCCTCGCGCCTGGAGCGCCGCCCCAACGCGGTCCCAAGCGCATCCGCTGCCCACGGCGCCGAAGGGGCAGCTCAAGAGTTGCAGACAGTAGCCCTCGCGGGCCCCCTTGGCCCATACCGAATGGGCCAACGGGAGGTCGGCGCCTCGCACGGGCAACGTTTTGTAAGCACCGATGAAATCTTCTTTGTTCAGCACCGGCGTGCCGGCCGCGGCCGCGATCCGCGCCAGCTCGACCAGAGCATCGAGAGAATCCACCCTGCGCGCGGTCGCGGCGACACGGGAGAGCGGACAGCGCGCGCGAGGGGCGGGGGGGGGGGGGGAAAGGGCCCGCCTGCACCTCTCGGCTGCGGCGGCGCAGTCATTAACGCCCGCGGCAGTGAAATCGTCGATCGCGCGCACCTGGACGCGTTGGCTCCCGGCGCGGCGCCCAGGGGAGGGGACGATGCATGCCGCGGCGAATGCGCCATTCCTTGCGTATCCATTCTTCCAACTTCCAGCGCCATCCCTCGTCTACAGGGAATCGCGGGTTTAACACCGCCCCGCGTGGCAGGTCGGACAACCGGACCCACGCTGCCTGGCCCGCGGCCACCTCCACGCTCGCGGACGTCGCAGCATGGGCGACTGTCCCCGCTGGCTTGCGCGGCGCGCGCCTCTTCGTATGCTTTATCATGCAAAATCTGGGTGACTTCCACGTCGGCCCCCAGATCCCGAGACACGCGCTCGAGGGTGGCGGCGTTCAAAGTGTCCGCTCGGCTGCGCAACTCGGATGGGCATTCGGCTCCCTTGGGGGTCACGGGCGCGTTCATGCCCGAGCGCGGCAGGACCCCCACTAGCGGGAAGCCCCGCTCCATGTCACGCGTCAAATTCACGTCGGACGCCTCAAGCACGGAGCCGCGCCCCGCTGTCGCGCGCGCGCGCGCTGCGTCGCTGGTCACCCCTGCAGCTTGCATCATTTCGACCAAAAGCAACAAGTTCTTGTCAGGCCCCAAGGACGGAGCGCACATGCCATGGTAACTTCGCATAGCGTGCCTCGCCCGACCGCGCTCTCCGCCGGTGCTTCGCGGTAGCGGCGTGCCGGGCGGCGCCTTCCATTCTGAAGCCGTCACGCGTTTGCGCTCTTGCCAAAATTGCAACGCCGCCTCGCGCCTCTCTTGCAAGAGTGCGTCGCTCGTCTGGCTCGCCGCCACCGCCGCGTCGCGCTCAGGCCCCGCAAGCGGCGCTATCTCGCGGACTCGCGGCAAGTGTGCCGCCCAGGCGGCGTGGCAAAGAGGGCTCATGCCCGCCCTCTTGTCTTCGTCGTCGAGCAACGCATCCACGGCGGCTTTGATCTGCGCGCGCGCGCTTCGCGGCTCCGCCCCCGTAGAGTGGCGGGCAAGGGCCTCTTCAAATGCGCAGCCGGCATCGTGGATTTGTTGGGGGCAAAGGTCGCCGCCCCCGCCTTCGGCGCCGTCGTCGGAATCAACATCCGCGTCCTGCGCTGCGCTCGCCGCGGGCGGGGCGGTCTCGCGCGCGGCGCACTGGCGGCGCCTCCTGCCCCTCGGGCGACGGCCCGCGCCACGCTGCGCCCTCGCCGCTGTCGGCAGGGTGCAATGGGGAGGCCCCGTCGTCTGCATCACTGGCTGGTGCGGCGCCCCCGCGGGGGGCGCGCGCGCGCGCGCGCGGAGCGCGCCTCGGGCGGGCGAATAATTAGCATGCACAGCGCCGGCGCCCTGGCTTCACCACCGCCAGGACTCCTTTCGCTCAGGCTTGTGCCACGAGCTCCCCGCGTCCTTGGGAGCCCCTCCCTTGCCGGCCTTTCCGCTCCCCTTCTTGCTGAAGGTGTCGCGGCGGGGGCTGCGCGAGCGCTGGCGGAGGACAGGGCTCACCGGGGTCCGCGGCTTCGCCGCCTCGCGCGCCGCGACGCGTGCTCGCGCTCGCGAGGCGCGCGCGCGCGGGCTCGCGCCTGGTCGCGCCGGTCGTTGCCGCCTTTCTTGCCCCCGCCCTTGGCGAACGCCGCCTGGCGGTCCGACTGCTGGACTCTCTCCTACAGCGTGCAGCGCGATGCACGATGCCAGGGCGGCGGCCACTCAAAAGCGCTGCGCTCCTTGGCGGCGCGCAGAATGTCCCACGACAACGCAGTGAACGAGGCCGTCGCATCCTCGTCGCCGTGTTCCAGGTCTTTCGCCACTTTCTGGCGGAGAAGCAAATCGTACGTGTAGGAAACCTGGACGCGGCGCGGGCACCCGCGCGCGGCTCCCTGGGCATCGGGCCCGCCGCTCCGCGGACGCGCCTTGACGCCCCCGTGCTCCTCGCTCACGCGCGCGAGCTGGTACATGTATCCCAATAGCACGACGGGATCAAACACTTTGGACAGGATGCAGCGAAGCCCCCCCTCCATTACGTGGGCCTCGCGCCACGGGGCGCGCGTGGGCGCGCGCGCTGCGCTGCGTCGCGCGCGACCTGGAAGTGCGCATAACCGAGAAAATCCATTCGGCCCAGGGCCGCGCCCGCGCGGTTCGCCGCGGTGACGGCCGACGCGCGATCGCGCCACGAGCCCGCCCCCGCTGGTACCGAGTCCAGCTTCGGCATTCGCGCCCATTGGGGCTTGCAGTGGTCCTGCGCGCGGAGCAATCGGCGAAACGGAAGCTTGTCATTGAACGTGCCGCCGAGCAGGGAGCCTGCAGGCTCTCGCCCTCGGCGCCCCCAACGTATGAGCGGCCGTGGGACTGGGCCGTCCGGCCCGCGGCCGCGAATTTGCGCATCGACTCCTCGGTCGGCAATCCCTCACGGGGGAACTTGCCGAGCCAGACCTCGCGCACACGGTCCTGCCGAGGCGCGCATCCCCGAACAATGCCGCCCGCGCATGCGAAACGCGGCGCGCCTCCATGGTAAACGCCAGCGGCTTCTCCCGCTTTTCTTCGAGCAATTCCTTGCTGGCCTTCACGTATTCTTCCATTGCCGCCGCAATCCGCGTCGTCTCCTCCGCGGGCTTGGCGGCCGCCTCCGCCGGGGCCGATTGCTGACCCTCCTGGCGGCGCGCCGTGCGGCGGCCCGCGTCCTCGCGCACCAACGGGGCGGGGGCCTTCCGCCCGAAGGCTTCCATCGCTCGCGACTGCGTCCGCAGCGCCATATTGATGTGGCACGGCTTAATCGCGAAATCGCGCCACTCCGCGGAAGAATCGCCCGCAAACGGCTTCGCGCCTGGCTTCAGGGCCGCAATCAACATATCGCGCATGGCCGCGTCCGAGTAATCAATCGGGCGGACCGCCCCGATCGCTTCGGCCATCAGGCGCGCGACCGTGGTGCACAGCACCAGCTCGGGAGCTGGCGATGCGCCCCCTTCCGCCGCGTTGGCCGCTGCGACGAAGAGGACCCAATCGGCCTTGCGCGCCGCTGCGAGTGGGCTCATGCCCGCGGTAGACGCACGGAGACGC